AGAATAACACATCAACATGAATGTCACAGGCCTGTTCCAATTTTATGTGCTGCTATTGATAATTTCTTGATGCCATGTTATACTTATAGTTGAGTGGTGTGGTCAAAGTACTGAACTGGTTGGAGGCATTTGTAAAGTGTTGATTGAATCACAACTGATATGATTAGTGGAGAGCAGCAGCAATTGGTATCCACCAGCAATAAGTAAATGGAAAATGCACAGATTTTTATCTCATGTATCGCAAAAGATGCTGTTTTCTCATACATGTTCATGTGATAATAGCTGTTTCGGTTATTTGTAATCAATAACTGCAACTCTTCAGGATGAAAAGCGGCAGCTGGGAACTAATGCTAAGTACGTTCACAAGATCTTAGGAATGAATTCAGATGTTGTTGATGTACTATCGTTCGATAGTATCATGTTGATGCAGTTTTGATCGATGTTGATTTTACAGGTCATCGTGAATTGAGATTATTTTTTCGTGAGTTGACCCCTTGATGGAGAACGAGAATTTCAAGTGGGATCAGGAATATGATGAAGTGCAGGTCACGGTCCCGTATGAAGGCGATATTACAAGGGATGACGTGAAGACAGAGCTGACACGAACCACGTTCAAGCTATTGTTAAAAGGTAGACCGGTTGTGAGTGGAGAGCTGAGCAACACGATAAAATGTGGTGACGAGGACGTTCTTTTCTACATGGATGGTGGGCAGGTAGTTGTTACGCTTGAAAAAGAAGACAAGAAATGGTGGGATTCGTTTTTCACAGGCGGGAAAAGGGTAGATGTCAACGATATCGCGTCTAAAAAACAGACCAAGTTTGAAGATCTTGATCCGGAGGCACAATCTTTGGTGGAGAAGATGATGCATCAGCAGAAGAACAAGACAGAAAATAGTGTTGCAGATGGCGACATAAAGACAGCAGAACTATTCAACCAACTGAAAAGGGACAGTAAACTGGATTTAGGCCCTGAAGAAGTGCTGGAATAAAATATACATTATTTATAGAGTGGAATACACAAGCCATTATTTTAGTTGTCTTGTCGAAAGAGTGTTACTAAAAATCGAGAATAACTCCAAGTTTTGTGAATGATCAGCCTTGTTTGTTCCTCAATGACAACTCATCATAAAAGTGTGTTTGTTCTGTTGTTTTTGATATATGAGAAGATAAATAAACGATCTTAGATAAAAATGAACAAGTTATTTGTAATGAGTCTTTAATGGCGATCAAATCATGTGATCATTCACTATCTAGGAAAGCAGCACTTACACTCGCAACAGAGAAGGTTTTTATCGCTCTTAGTTCAGTCACAATGATACTTACTCGTACAAGAATTGACAGTTACCAAGCATGCTGTCGTTAAGCACGCACTATGCAGCCTGTTGAATCATAATAGAGCGTGCAAAAATTGTTCAGGTCCAAACAATTCACATCTGCGCCGACGATCTGAGTGGAATAGAGTTGGCCACAGGAGTAATGTTAAATTTCAGCCAAAATTGTCCAACATTCGAATCGATGAAGTGGTACATTGGATTAAAAGCATTGGCTTCCTGACCAATTCGAAAATTACCCGAAGACAACGTTATCATCGCGCTACCATCATTTTTAACAATGCTGCTTAACTTTGACATGACACTATACTTCTCGTCAAACAGTCTTTTATTTCATGCAACCTCCTGTGTTGTACAACTGTACTACGAATATTTATTTTGCTGCTAAGACCTTATAAGACGGCAAGGATATACATAGCATCAGCACGAGTAAATTTGTATAGCTACTATGTCGTAAACCCCTCCATATTTTATGATCACGTGGCTATATACGTAAAATTCTCGTATTCGATGCAATTGCCACCAATATTTGTGTATTAGGACGTATTGCAATTACAATCAATTATAGCATGATGTGTGTTGCGTTTGATGAAACACTCCATCTGCCAGATATTACGAGCATATTGTGCAGGTGTTCATCATCTGCCAAGTTTTTGCTGATATAATACCATTTTATCAAGCGTTTCGACTAATTTATCATTTCGTTTTGTTTCTCTTGTACCTTCTCCAGTATCACACAGCTTTATCCCAGACCTGGTGCGTTTTATCAAAGCTTTGATCGCAATACAAACACTGTGGGTAAGAAGCATAGTATAACAATCAAGGAAAGAAGCTGTCAGCCATAGAAGATGCGCTGAAAATGGCAAAATAAATTCAGCATTATCTGCTCATTTGTCTTACCCAACCATGTGATACAAACTTGCCCAGCAAAAGTTTATAATTATATTAGATCGGGTTCGCATTTAATCAAGAAGCGCTAGTATCCCGTTTTGTTGCAACTTTACTGATTTGTAAAGAGAACAGACAAGGTATTTCCTGATATGAAATAGCATCTTTTACATCTACCAAATATTTCAGTTTACCCGCCAACTAACCATGGATGTCTTCAAAGAAAACGTGAGTATTCACAGTATGTTTGGTATTAATAAATTGTTGGTATCAAAAAGAAGAAATCTTACGTGAGAAAAGAACCATTCGTTTGAATAAAAATCTACATCACGATATAAACGAAACAACAAAGCATAGACATGATGTTCACGGATTCTATTCAGCAATACACGAGAAATATGTCCAGGACAGAGGTGTTATATCACGAGCTACACTAGCTAAAGGAATGAGAAGGCTAACTTGTAGAGATAAGCAGGAAATGTTAATATCCGTGGGTGCAGAGTCGTTATCGTTACAAGACGATGTATGATATGGTTTTCAGGAGGGCCCTGCTGCTAGTGCAACTTTGATGTCTAAAACAAAAATATCATAGTGAATCAAGAGTCAACATTTACGGTAGGGCGTGGTCACAGTGACAGACAGGTTCTGAAAAGATGATCATGCCAGTGTTTGTCAGAAGAAGAATAAAGATATGGTTTATTAATATGATATATAATCATCATTGCACTTCTTACCAGTCTTAACAAATAGCTCTACATGTGCATTTCTTATTTATTTACACCAGCGTAATTTTGAAGTAACAAGTTAACATAATGTTAGTTGAAATATTCACGGCAATATATGCACTGTTATGTATGGGAGAGCTTATTGTTAACGAAATGAATCTAAATGATTGCCAAGTATTCTTTTTGTCCTGCAAAGAAATCAGACACCAATGGTTAACTTTGATACCCGAGCTGAGAAATAATAGCATGCTGATGGTAAAGAATTGTAAAATAAAGAGATAAAGGATAATTGGTGGTTGGATGAGCTTTATTCAACATATAACGCATATCAACATAGGAGTTGAGAAGAATGAACAACAGAACAAGCAGTAGAAGCACTCAGTATTGTGGTCGAATCGATATAATGACGCTTGCAATTAAGAATTATGTACGAGGATCAGTCAGCATTCTAAATTAACTCAGTAAATTGGACAGGAAGTGTTGTATGGCGAGATGACAAGGGTTAGATACTCGTATAAAACATAGTGAGAACATGTGAAAGGACCAAAAACAGGACAAAAAGAATGACATGCATTTATTTGAAGAAGGTATAACGTGCACAACGGAATTTGTTGGATATAAAACTATATTGAGTTTTTTGTAATTGAATACAAGATAGAATATGCAAGATGTTGTTCGTAGCATAAAAGTCGTTGAAGGAACAATGATCTCATAGAACAGACAATGTAAATAAAAATAGAAATTATCAACTTTAGAACCTATGAGATGACGCATTCATGCACATAGGTAGTTATTGCTGTTCATTCTCAAAATGATGAACGACATGCAGTTCTAAAGAATCAAATACAGGATGTATGGGATAACAGCACCGAATTACACTGTTCATGAAATAATAAAAACTGGTACCGCACTTTTTGTGATGGTGTTGGCCTAGGATTCAATTTACCGTCCAGGAATATGGTGTTGCAGAAAGACACGTTGGGTGGATGGCGATGTGATTGCATATCATTTGCATGTTGTAAATATATTGGCCCATAGGGGATGTGCAGATAAAGCTATATATCGTAACAAAGTACATTTTTACAGCAAGAAAATGTGTAGTAGAATAAGGTACAAACAAAAACAAGATATTCAGGACTGATGACGTGGTTTAGGAGTAATATAAGGCATATCGAGACATATAATGGCGTGATTGGGTTTGAAGTGCATGAACAGGTGGTATAAGAGAAGATTTCTGGATTGAACAGGGCTTATTGGGCCAGAGAACGAGTCAGATAGGGATAAAGAAAGATGATTGAACTAGGGAATGCGGAGAACAAAGTGAAAAAGGAAGGAAAGAAGCGAGACGAGGAAGGAAAGTTGAGATAGATGAGTGTGGAGAGAAGCAGGAAAGGGCCAAGAAAAGATTGAGAATATAGATGAAGAAAAATATCAGCGACAAACAGATCGTGCGCGCTCAAGACGAAGAGGTAAAAGATGAATAACGACAACTGGAGAAGATGGAAGCGAAGGCTGGGTAGATGGCTGAGGAGAGAATCAAGAAGAAAGAGAAAGATGAAGAAGAAACTAAACAGGTGAGAGAAACCAAAAAATAGGCTAGAATTAAAGTGGGAGAGAAGGGAACATTGGGAGGAGAGTTGATCCTTGCTCAGAAGGTCTGAGAAGCACGATATTGTTTCTGGGTACGGAAATATGATAAACCGCTTCTACCACTGCAATGATTTTTTTGTTTTCCAGTTTTGAATGCTCTGTTATTACTTATTGCCAGCAGTTCATAGCTATTTTAGCGAGGAGAGTGAATCATTTTTGTTTCGATACGTACATAATCTGTACAATATAGGATGTTGATAAGTGATCACCTGCAACGAGATCTCTCTATTTCTCTATTGTTCTTGTTATTCCTAAAATTACTACTCACACCAGTTCATGCTATTTTTTGCACCTGACTTATACTCAATTATTTCATTGCAACTCTATTCCAGAGTCAAACGATAGAATGTCATGGATCGTTGATAAATAAGGATATCCACATAGACTTAAATTCCAGAAAATCCAAGTTCTGTAGTCGGTGTCCCTCATGCATGCAACATTTGCATTTTGGCCTTATGCCCAAATATTCACGATATGAAAGTATTTTGCAATAGTCTTTCTCACAGGTATTCCTATTCCTTCTTTCTCTGAATTACAAAGTTCTTAGAAGCAGTCTCACTAGTCCTAAATAACTATTGTGGATTTCGTGGCTAGGATATCTGCAGTTTGCACACTACAGGAATGACTTCCAGTTTCTACCCATTTTAAGACAAGATCTATACTATCGAGAACATATTTAACATTCCATCCGATTTGCTGACTTTTGGATGAACAGATCTTGTTATCGAAAATGATCAGAATTGGAAAGTAGATGCCGATAAAAAGATGGTTTTAAAGTCAGAAATGAAAAGACAACATCATTGGAATAAATCTAGGGTGCAAATTGTAACTAAAACAAGTAATTTGGTGTAGAATTGGTCGATATGTCGAATGGTAAGGAATGATGTGTTCGATAGGGAATTTACTGAGACACATAGATACGATAGCATTGACTATTTGCTGGACTGCAACTTGTTACCATTTATATTGCATTTAATAAGCGAACGAGAACGCTATACAAGGCTACTTGATTCAATTTACTGTTCTTGTAAGGGCTGCAATATCACTGGGAGTATGCATCTGTGTGGAAGATGCTTGCATCATAAAATTACGAGATAGAGTGCATCACATTGACTCGGTTATATCTCTTGCCAATGTGAGTGTTTACAAAAGAGCAAACTCGGTAGCATCCTAAACACCAGCTAAATATGACATTTTCGCTTGTCAAAGTGTTGTTACAAACTAGCTATGGGATTATGTGTTTGTAGTTACCAGGTTTAGTGACCAAAATATGACATATCAAAAACATTTGTGAGTGTTTAGATACTATTAATGCTCAGCGCTTCGGAAGTGATGCGATAAGTGCTGTATAAAAAGGGTTAAAACGATTAGCTGTTTATGACAGCAACCCGATGAGATATCCGCTCATTGCTGCCATCACTATTGCTATAGATGCGAATATCCATTTTCATGGTAGCACATCATTGTCAAGCTGGTTATGAATGAACACACTGTTGAGGTATAGAAGTCCTTCTGGATTAACAAGGTGTTTAGCTCTCTTGAGAAGTGACCAAGCACGTAAGAGTACCATTAGTTATTGTTACGGTGTTTGCTGATCGTTTCATCCCCTTGATATCTATACTAGCACTTTTTTCTGTTTCTTGAACACATCCCTTGTCGATAAAACAGCGCTTACTCCTAACACATAGACCAGATAAAATTGTTTTCTATTTTTTGATCAGAACGTTGTTCAAAAGATGCGTACCAAATATTTTACTATTGAACTGCATAAGATAATCAATAAACACCGCATGTTGTCTTTTGACAGATTGAGGATGGTATAGATAGTGTGCAGTGTTCCTGTGTATATCGGAACGATAGGATGTTTGAACAGGCATGTGATCTATATTGACTGAAAATTGCTTTCCTTAGCACATGAGAATGGCTCTGTTTAGGCATTGGCTTTCTGGTACTTGTATGCATGTTGGCTATAGCATTGCATCAAAAACAGTAATAACGTGCATAGAACACGCAAGAAGTAAAAACAGTAGATCTTGTATAATCGTGTTTTGTTGGTGAGGATGATTGTTCATTGCGAACTTGTATTTGTTGTAATTTTTGTGAGATTTGCACGTAATGCTTTATACGGTATTACTGGTTCACCAAATCAATATGTATTTATTATTGTTGTAGAGAATGAGATGCATGTTAAATTCTGGTAAACTATTTATACACGCTATGTATCATTGTTAGCCACATTTGCGCTACTATCTGGCTGATTACCACTACTTGCACCGGGATCAGCTGTTTCATCTTTCGCTGCATCGCTATTTCCTGAGGCGGGGTTGGAGATTGCATTTTGTGATGTGCCGCTGAATGTAGAGGAAATATGGAATGGGTTAACGATAGAACCAAATGTTGAACCATGAACACCACCAGAATTGGATGAGATATCGCCATCTGCATCCGGCTCGTTAGATGATCTAAAAAAGCAACAACACAGTATTACTACGGCCAAGACAGCGGCACCAACAACACATCCAATAATGATAGTACGCTTCTTGTTCTGCATGCTGTTGTATGTGTACGATATTTTATACCTGATGTGAAAAGGGGGCGTAGGGTTGACAGTACTGTCCAAAAGTTATGCTACAAAGACACAAATATCTT